AATTTTTAATTGAACATATAATATTTAAACTATGCTCAAATTTACTGTATTTAAAAAATATAAACATAGTTAAAATATCAACACTAACCTTTACCTATCTCATAGCCTGCAATTGATCGACTTTATATATGTCGTGTTTTCTAGCTTCATCAAGATCCAGTGCACGTTGAAGTTGCATGTGACGATAATAAGTCTTAAATGATACAATAATATCAGCATCCATGGGCTGTATTTTTGATATTATATATGGAGGTAACTTAAGTACTTCTATATTAGTTAGAGTAACAGCACCAGTAACATGTGAAGAGGCACCATCTAGGATGAGTAAAATATTATGATTTGATTTCCTCATTTCTTTGTCAAAATCTTCAATCCATTCCTGAAAATTGTGATACAAGTTAATAATAAAATTTTTTTTTTTATTCTTCAATAATTTGTTACTCGTTGCTAGACTATTTATATAATTAATACAGTTGCACTCCCATATAAGCATCTTCTATACAGAGAAAAAAATTTAAATCAAAATTATGTGCGCATTGCGTATATAATTTTAAATTTATTGTTTGTACACCACACATATTATTAAATATAATGTGCACTTTTAATTTATTAACTATATAGCGCACATAATTTAAAATATACTGCTAATAAATTGTGTGCTTTGCACACAATTTTATATTTTTTTTGTGTGCAAAAAATTTTTATATGCGGAGCGACATGCATACATTGAATTTTTTTCACTGCTCCTATATAAGTACATCACCTATATAAGCATATTTATTTTTTGAACCAACTAAGCATTATAAGTATGTGTTCTATATAAGAACACTTTTGTGGGTCCCGATAGTGTGATTATATGGGAGTGTGACTGTATTCGTTTTTAATTGAATATTCATTTTTATGTAGCTTTGCATTATTACCTGAAAAAACTTAGCGGTCATCCAGGCTCTTTGATTATTATGATAATAAAACTCAAGTTGTTCACTAGTTTTTTTTTAAAATATCTGGGTTTATTGGCATGACCAATAATAAAGGGCCGAAGCTTGTATATGCCATCAGCATTAGATGTAAGTGCAATTGTAAGTCATATACAATCTTTTTTTGCTCCTTCAATTTGATAAGATACAATAGTACGATCAGAAGCCATAGAATAAAACAATCCAGTCTCATCCATATTATAAATATTTCTTAGAGAATATTTATCAGTTTTATGAATAATATTAGGAAGGTTTAGTTCAATAGCTTCAAGATCAGCAGAGCCGCTCTCACCATGAAGCCTAAAGTGATGAAAGTTGTGTTTTTTTTGAAAAGCTTACAACTATCCATTCGAGAACTCTGGCTGGTTGTCTTCTGAAATTTTCATTAAATCCGCTAATTTTTTATCCTTGGCTTTAATCATATCTCCATTTAGACATACAGCACGATCTTCACATTGTAAAACCCAATTCGCCAATGCAGTATCTAATTCAGGAAACAAAACAA